CTGACAAACTACAAACATTATGTAGGCCAGTTTTAACAGTACCCTGGTCTGCTGTCCCTCATTACCACACCATGTGCTTCATCTCCCTACCAAAGGTCATGCCATAACTTACGCAGTTAATTGCGGGGACCTGAGTTTGTGTTCAGGGTAGTGATATATTCACGGCAGGAAAAGGTTATAGTATTGAGAAGGAACACTGATGCTACAAATCTTGACACACCTTCCACAAATAAAAAGTTCATTGTTACAGTTACACAAGATGAAGATACTTTATTCACTTGGAGTCGCTGCAAGAAACCTTGCACTATACTTCATCTCAAGAAATTAGTAACCTCTCATACCACTTGCAGAGACAGGCCCCTACATATCTGATCATGGGGGTTTTCTGGGCTGTGACAGTGTGAACTTGTAGACAGTTAGCAGTGTTTCAGAGGAACGTACTGTCTCCAACCCAAAGGCTGAAGTGAGAAGTGTTGGGAAGTGGTCAGTTTATATAGGTTCAGGAAAAGGACTGGGCCATGGTGATTGTCCAGTGAGAGACCAGGAATGAAGAAGAGAGATGGAAATGGTCCAGGCCTATTGAAAAGAGCCCTGAAAGGGCTACTTATAATCTCTCTAGCTCCTTGTTTCCTATCAGCCCAGACTGTCCATCTTCCTTCCTCATTCCTTGCAGTTAAAGTGAAGCTGCAAAGCAGTAGTGTTAAAGCATCCCCTGATTTCAGACCACTACAAATAGGCATTGTTTCAGATAAGTGTTACTAAAATGCTATGTCATGTTGACAAATGTGCATTTTTCCCCTCTCCCATCCCTCTTTACCCTCTGGTTTTAGATTAAAATATTTACATGCATGCAGTCTCTTGAGAAAACTCCCACGGCCATAACGTCATTTATATTAGATGTGTTATTGATAACTTCACTGTTTTCAGGTTTGTGGACTAAAGTGGTCGCCAGATGGCAGGTATCTAGCCAGTGGTGGGAATGACAATATGCTTTACATATGGCCAGTTGTGGCAGGACAGGCTTTCTCACACCCCCAGCCATTACACTCTCTCAGGTAAGTAGATACTTGATGATGCAGTTTCCTATTTGTGAAATGAGAGGATGTTGTACTCTATCAAATTAATTCCATGAAAAAAATAAAATGTGATTGAAGCCTCTGAGTACCTATATATGTATATTGGATCTTGAAACTGTTCTGATATTGCAAACTTGATTGTATTTTATTCAAACATTCTTGGGCTGCCAGTCGTATCAGTTGGTTAAAAATCACCAGTGTTTCAGGGACCATCTCCATCATTGCTCTAGTCACAAAAATGATTTTCACAAGGGAATGACAAACACGTTTTTAGTTTAGTAGAATTGCACTGCAAATTTTCAGTTTAGTAGAATTGCACTCCAAAAATTGTGACATTCCATTCCAACATTGAGATGCTTATTTTCCTGCTGTCTTGTAGTGCACATCAAGCAGCTGTGAAGGCACTGGCATGGTGCCCATGGCAGCGTAGCATATTGGCAAGCGGTGCTGGAACAAGTGACAGATGCATTCGCTTTTGGAACTGCAATACTGGTTGTTGTCTCAGCACCATCGACACTAAGTCTCAGGTAAGACCTGGATATTTACTGTATTTAAGACCCCTTGACTGCCATGACTATAGAGAATTCATAACTGCTTAGGCTGATGCACTGTTAAATTTGGTAGGTGCAGTAGCACATCTATAGTTATTAGTTGAATAATTATTATTTTATTTAAAAATCTAGGCATCTCAATTTACACACATCTCAAATGTGTATGGACTGTTGCCTAACTACTGCATGATTGTCTTGTTGAAGCTTAAATAAAATGGCCATTACCTTCATATTCAACTACTGTCTTCTGTTTGTTGGACATTAATACCACTAAGGAAAGGTTTATGAATGAAAAGTCTCCATATGTGTGTTAAACAATTTTTCATCCTCTTAGTTCATAATTGTCTTGATTTTTAAATCTGTCAGTCATTTGTCATCTTGGACTGGGTTATTTAGTGGAAGAGTACTACATGTATTTTGTTACTTCCTTGAATCCCTTGCAAATATTTACACTGTAAAAAAAGTCTTGCAGGTTTGTGGTCTTCAGTGGTCAACTACATACAGAGAACTCATCTCAGGTCATGGTTCTCCAAATAATCAACTAATTATCTGGAAATATCCATCAATGACAAAGGTAAATGATCATAATTTCAGTGAGATGAAATGTTAATGGAGACGTGATTGAAAATGAATTGGTTATATTGGTGTATAGTTTGTATTGGGAGATGTCTACGAAAGTTCACTCAGGATATGTCATGTATTTTAAAATTATACATATATAATTGGTTAGTTAGAAGATAGATTTATTTTACACTTAATTTTGAGCATCCTGTGGCTGACATTTAATTCTTGTAGAACAGGCTTGTAAAACCAGCCACTTTTAATACCATCATTATCTTCCTGTCTGAACACAAACATGATGTTTCTGATGCCCAGTTAGGCACCCACTAGCAAACATTTTATAACCAAAAGTCTTCTTCCCCCACTCTCTATGTGCTTCATCATAAATCATGAGTCAGTATACGTACTTATGCCGCAGTACATGGCACCAACAATCCATTCCATGAGAACCTGATATCTCAGAAAATGTTTATCCAATACTGTGGCAAACTTTGTAACTGTTTATTTTGATATTGTTCCCATCACCTTTACTCTGCCATGCTTGAGGGAATGAAAGAAGAAAATGGGGTGGTTTTCCTGGCCTCTCAGTTTGGTCTCCATTTTGTTTTAGGGCTGAAAGGCATTTTTTCCTCGCAAGATATTTCTGCTCTAAAGTCTGATGGCCATGTCCAACCATCAGTGTCTGCCTTCCTACAACTCCTGTGTTTCTTCCTCTTGAAACTTCCTTCCCTTTCTGTTGTGTTTCTTAACCTGTCATTCCCATCTTTATCACAGCTTCCATTGTGAACATTTTCCTTTCACTTTCATGTTCAAAGCCTTCTTTGGGATTTGTCTATTATTCATTCTTAATAAACCATTGCCCATACCATCTAATTCTGTTCTTTGTTAGTTTCTCTTCCATGACATTTAACTTAGATTCTCTTTTATTTATTTTTTATCCAATCTCTTTTAGTTTTTCAGTCTATGCTTCTTAAAAATCGCATCTCTGCTGCCATTAATATAGTAGTTCAGGATTTTACTATTTAACATAAGAATCATGATCCTTAAATGCCTATTAATTTGGATTGAAACTCTTTTATTTTCATCATTGCACTGGGTGAATATTTTAAATTTGTACAGAGACCACAGACGTTAATAACTTCTGAGGTCCCTGTACAAATTTATAAAGTATTTCCAAAAATTATTTTTCATCTAAATGTCAGACTGGATCTTGTCGTCCAAACACCATACTAACGCAATACGAATACCATACCACTTCTGCAGCCAGAGTCAGTGTGTATTTTTACTGCAAGAGTTTATTGGCCCCATTTCAAACCCCAAAGCAGGAGAACTGGTCCTTGCATAATTTTACCAATAAAATTAGAGCATTAATTAAGTTAAATAAATCAAGTCTTAAATTAATTCCAGGTTGCTGAATTAACTGGCCACAAAAAGCGGGTCTTGCAACTGGCTCTGTGTCCAGACGGAAGCACAGTGTTGTCTGCTGGTGCAGATGAAACCTTAAGATTGTGGAAATGTTTTGTTCTTGATCCTGCCAAGAAGAAGAAAGAGATAAGAGACTCTAAGGCTGCTCCGAGCATGTTTAGAGGGATTAGATAATGGAATCTGTCACCGTTATGAACTGTCTAGTAACTTACATAAATGTTCAAGAAGCATACTTATGTGGAGTGTTATACAGCACTGCCTGTGGTTTTGGTGATGTGTACATAGTTTTTATTAGCCTTAAATTTGGCTCAATGTTATTATTTGTTAAATAGTTTAAATTATTCTAACATTAATAGTGATGAAATATGGTCACACAAATTATAATGTATCTAATGAGATTGTTAATCATCTAGTTACCTATATGAACGTTCAATATCCATACTTATGTATTGTTTTATACAGGACTGCTTGTGATTTTAATGATATATACATAGGTTTTATTAGCCATAAATTTGGCTTCAATGTTATTTTTTTTATTAAATAGTTTAAATTATTCCAACAGTAATAGTGATGAAATATGGTCACACAAATTATAATGTTATCTAATGAGATTCTTAATCGTCTAGTTACCTATATGAACGTTCAATATCCATACTTATGTGTTTTGTTTTATACAGGACTGCTTGTGATATGTATATAGGTTTTATTATTATATTTGGCTTCAATTTTATTTATTTATTAAATTGTTTTAAATTATGACAACAGTATCTTTTATTTATGGCATTCAGTTTTCACCCACCTGTTGACAGTGGTCGCATTTATGAATGTATTAATACAATTTTATTTATGGAAAATTGTATTAGTAATATTCATAGTTTATATGATGACGTTCAGAAACTGTGAAATCATTACATCTCTGTTAGGAAAGGCAGATACCACTTTCCTGGAGGACAATGATCAAAGAAGTTTGTTATTCATTTTAGTAATTCAAATTAATTGTATATGCATTTGTTGTGCTGTCACTACACATGTTGCGAATGAATATAAAATGTTAATTTAACTAACAACAAAACTTAATCTGTCTGTATAATGACAGCCATCATCTGAAGACAAGCATAAAGCCAACTCCTGAAATGTGTATACCACATACATATCGACAATGGACAATGTCTGACATAATATTGGTATAATGATTTAACGATCCATTAAGTAATGTGAAATTACAAAAGTAGCTAAGGACAGCATTATAGTAGACAGAGCAAAAGTCTATCATAATACATGAGTTACTTGGAACAGTGAAGATAGAAGAGGGCAAAAATACATTCAAGGAAACAATAAGAAGTAAAGAGTCTGAATGTAAAGAGTCGGAAGTTGCTGATGCTTTTTAGTATATTAAAAGGGGTAGGAAGATGCAGTCTTATATTCAAAAGATTCGTGTACCATTATATGCCCATTATTGAAATTATTCCACCTACTGAAGCTGAGATAAGAAGGTAAAATGAATTACTTAAAATCAATCGTACAAGGTTATGATGAAATAGGACGACACTTTTTGAAAGATTATTGATCTCTGTTTTATCACCCATTAAGTAAGATCAAATAAGGAGATACAAGTAGTGTGAAAAATTATCCACTTTCAGTAGTAACTGTGTTTCCTGAAGCGCTTGAGAAGGTTATGAATATTAATAACATAACATATTGGGCCCAGGACACTTTGGCTTCAAGGTACCAGGTATACAATTTATGAGACTCAGGGCGTGCTTGCATTGCGTGGTCGGTCAGCGCCCTGTTGATGTGGGTGGGAGTTGTGCGCGTTCTTCCAGAGGGTGACCGGCAAATCAGTTTCAGTGCTGGTAGTAACAGCGAGCTATGAATATTTTTTGTCACAAATACATGTTATTACATTAATTGTTCTTACCTTAAATCACAAAACATGTTCAAAGTAACTTACTTGTGCTTGCAGGCAACTTCACATCTCGTTAATATATTTCTAAATACCCGATGAAGCTCTTCTAGGGAAATTGTCGAATATTTTCTTTAAGTGCTTCTGTGAACGTTATGTAAATTTAATAGTTAGACCCTCTTTCCAAGAAATGACCGATGAAGAAAAGACGTACAGTTTCTTCATGCAAGACAAAGCTACAGCTCACACAGCCGATCGGTCGATGTTAGCATTAAGAGAAGTGCTTGGTGAACAAGTTATCAATCAGTGGCCTCCGCATTCCCTGGACTTAAACCCGTGCAATTTTTACCTGTGGGGCATGCTGAAGAACAAAGTTTATGTAAACAATCCGCACACTGCAGAAGAACTTAAAGAAAATATTCTACAATTCATTTCTTAAATAAATATCCAGGTATGTGAAATGATAAGGGTTTTGTCCTCAGTGGTCTTGCTAGTGGTGTGCCACCAGTCCACTAAAATTGTAGGAATATGTGATGTTTTCTGGTGTCCTTTCCTTACAAGCTTTACTGTTTGTTTTGACATGGCCTTATCAATGATGCAGCTTACCTGATATACCATCTGATCACATTGCATGCACTAGAGTAGCAGAATGTTTCATAACTGGACCAGAGTTTTCAGTCTTCGCATTCATGTGTGCTTCAGAACAAAGAAAATAGAGAATTTGCCCTTTGAGCACAGAAAGACTGTGACTCAGTTGAGGTGTGTTCTGTGCAGGTACTTCTCCTTTCATGCAAGATTCTTGTAATGATGCCAAATTAGTCCCTTTATTTTAAGAATATTATTTTTGACATCCTTATATCTTTTGGTACTGAATAGTGAGTTTGTGGGAAGTAGATAAAAATGTTATTCAAGATATTTTTGGGAGAAACTGTTGTTAAGAAGAAAATGAAATTAATAGAATATGGGAAACTCAGCCCACCTTCACCCAGCCTTAAGAATGTATATAAGAACAAGAAAAGAAATGCACAGTAAGAATTTGTATGTTTTGCTTTATTACTTTTACCCATGGTTAATGGCTTGGAATAACCTGGAAAAACTGCCTAGCTGGCCATGCTTGCTGCTTCAAGAATGTCATAATATTTTTAATTGAGGTGCCTCTCCTAACCTCATAACTTCACAAAAAAATGAAAAATACAACCGAGACATGTTTAGATGATTGAAAGGGTTGACTGTTGCCATTTAGAGGTTACTGTCAAACTGAATTACTCCTTGATAGAGGTAACTACATAGAATCTTTGCAACTGCTCGAAGATTATGATCCTCTTGTGAGTGACCACTTAGAAGGAGCCACTTTTTTTAGGGGCACGTTTTCGGTCTTTCAGAATGATTTAATTAAAGCTCTTTTAAACGTTGTAGGCACTTGATTAAGTATCGTGTAACATGTTTAACGCTTTTAATCCTATCGGTAACTATATGTACCATTTGCTTTAACAATCAAAATTTAAATTTAAAAGAAATACAGATTTACATATTTTAAATACAAGATGTAAACATGATCTCTATGTGCCAAACGCTAACCTCACTAAAAATCAAAAAGGAGTGTACTATACAGGTGTCAAATTATTTAATAATCTTCCACGATCATTTAAAAGTCTAAATTATGATATAAATGTATTCAAGCCTGCATTGAAAGATTACCTCTTCACTCACTCTTTCTATTCCGTAGATGATTTTATCTCTGCTGACAATTTTTAAGCTTTATGTATATCTATAATCTATATGTAAAGCAAGTTTTGTATTTCTATTTAAAATTCTGAGGTTTATGTATATTAATTTGTAGAATTATTTTTCACTCTTGTATTGCAGAATCTTAAGTTAATGTACATTGATATGTGAAATACATTCTTGTACTTGTGTCAAAAGTTCTGAAGTTTATGTATATTGTATGAAATGACATGTTCAACATCCTTTGGTTGAGTCCTAAGAAGGATCTATGGGATGTAAATAAACTCTACTTTTCTATCAACACATCAAATTATTTTTAAAATCAAAACTAAATAAGTTTTAACCTAAAACAAACCTAACCTATTTTTTTACCATAATAGCATGTTTCCTGTTACAGAGCACTATAAATTACTCACTAGGGCATTGCAGTGGATCATGAAAAGATGTGTCCTACCCTTTACAATTCATTAATACGGTTAAAAGTATGACAGCCTCGCCACGAATATAATAGATACCTCTTGTATGAGTTCGTTTGCCGTCACTCGGAGCCTGCATCCCGACTGACCGATTGTTTTAATTCTTTTCCAACCATTGTGGTGAGTTTTCTTATGGTTTTCTTGGAGTGCTCAGTCAGAACCTTGAAAAAACACTTTACTAAACACCATCTACAATTGACATTATACAGTTATACTATCATTTATTTTAAATAATTGACATTAGCAGTCAAGTCAGGAAAATTATCAAATGCCATTAAAGCCCATTCAGCAATTATCAAAATACTAGACAGGTGGACACACAAACACGGCAAAGCAAACACATGCTTTTCTCTATTTTTCTGTGGTGAAAGCACCTACAAATGTTCTATGTTTGTTTCATAGCTTCCGAACTGCTGTGGCTCCATCAATACTGTTTACTGCAACAAGCTTTCGCAAATATTTATGTTTATTTCAGTTCAAGAACCGCTTATACACAGTTTGTGAACATAAAATGTATGCCATTTCAATGCCTGTGAACCATGACGCAGGGGAATATGAACTAAATTCATTTGAGAAATTTATATGATCAAGTTTATAACTCGTGCTGCTTTAGTTTCCATATCTTTGCACAAGATGCACTACACTCACAGTTGTTAAAATGGCATCTTAAGCAGAGGAATTCCTCACGCCAAGTTTGGAAGAACAGTGTCCTATTGACATGATGTTGGAACAAGACAGAATGCCTCCACATTTTCACAAGGGACTGATTGACGTCTGAAATTGCAAGTTTCAAGAGAATTTTATTGGCAAGGGTGGGACTACGACTTGGCCATGTTGTGTGCATGACCTTCTTCCCCTTACAGAATTCTTTTCAGGGTTCATCAGGATGGTGTCCATGTGCTAACAATGGCTTTAACTTTGCCACAACTTAGTAGGAGAATTGGCTACAGTCACCCTCGACTTCCTTATAGTGTGGACTGAAACTGAATGTAATTATGTTATCTGCCAGGCCACTCACAGCGCCTTCATTGAACATGTGAAATGTAGATCATGAGAACTTGATCACAAAAACTACTCAAATCCATTCAGTTCTAATTACCGTGCCTTTTAATTGGTGAGCATGGAGCTGTGTGGTAAGGGATATGAAGTATTTCCATGGCCTTGAAGCATTTTTCTTTCTGTTTTTGGGTGTAATGTGCCACAAATAGACACTTAAAGCTACTTGCATGCTGAGTCACATAAGAAACAAAGTCTGAACAACACTTATTTCGAATTTTAGTGCCTGGCTAGTACTTGGCTTTCAAATTCTGTTATATGACAAAAATGCATGTCATCAAGCCAGATGCAAGGCAACTGACTGTGCCACATTCACTCGAATGTTTGACCTCCTGTCATGTATACTGGCTAGTTTATGCATGTGTCCTTACAAACTCCATGAAGTTATTTCTTGTGGCTCCAAACTCTCACATTATTACAATGTCTTTTCTTGTTAGTTAGCATTGATCACATGTTTGGCTGAGTTACATAAAACCAAAAGTTCGTTATTATCATACTGTTAACAGATAAGAAACTTACATAGCTGTAGCCTTTGCCTATGAATATCTCTGGCACCATATACTGACTTGTGCCACACCGTGAATTTGCACGGTCACTCTGAAGACAGAAACGATACTTTGAATAACTGTGACAGGAATTTGGGTCACAAAACAACTGGAAAGTGTCTGGTAAGAGAAAAGAAAACTGATCAAGTCAAAAAGTGAAGACCACCAGTGGGCGACTTCCATTCATCTCCTGCCCTCAGAATCCATTTCTCTAACATCCCTCTTAATCCTATGCTTCCTTTTCCTGAATGATTTCTGATGCTACCATTTTCCAAGAGATTTTCCCACCAATATTCTGCAGCATTTTTTCTCTCCCTACACATCCCACTCATCATAAGATCCTTAACTGTGACCATACACAGTAGGCTGTATGTACCACAAATTTTATCTTCATATAATATTTAAACTAAGGAGCCCAGGTCCACCAAGGACTGTAGTGCCAACTGAAGAAGAAAATATTTAAACTAGGCCCGTGGATTATCCCTTTCAGTATCCAGTATTACACTTCACGTTTACCTACTCAAATTCATATGCCTTGTGACATGTTTTAGTTACACACACACACACACACTTCGAAAATGTGTGGTCTAATTTGAGGCACCTGAAACCTATCAACTCTTTACAGGTCTCATACTTTGACACCCTCCAAATAAAGGGCACTGCCTGATGGACAGAGTTCCACAAAGTGCTTACATTTACAGCCTATGTGCCCTTGTACGCACACTGAACAAAAGATAAGGTGGATATAATATCTACATCTTCAGAGCAGACAAACTGTTTGCATAAACCATAATCTGTAACAGCAATGTGGCCCTGAAGATCTACCAATATATTATCTGGTTTTAGGTCTCGGTGTATAACTCTTAGCTGAAAGAAACAAATTAACAAATAAATTCCTTGTACTGAGGGGATAAAATATGGTACATACATCTTGCACTACTACAAATTCATTCCAGATGCAACTCTGAACAAGCAAAGATCAAACAAAAGTTTCACCAGCTGCAGGATTGGACCAGTGACTAGGGACATAAATCTGTTGCACGATAACACAACTCTCAATTCTTGTGCAAAAATCGCTCGCTGAACACAATACTGTTGTGTTATCACATCAACCTTAATCACATGATCTCTCACCATCCGATGTCTCTTTCCTCAAGAGAGAAAAACATTTCAGAGGTTATCGTTTTAACAGCAGGCAAGAAGTTATTATTGCAACAAAAGACGCTCTGTGTGACATCCAGCCACAGCAATTCCAGAACTGCTTCCAGCAACTCTACCAATGGCGGCAGGAGAGTGTTCCAGCTCAAGGAGAGTTGTCTGAGAGCAGCTGCATCTAGGTCAAGACCATAAATTTTTGACTGCATAACAAAGTATTCTTCTGCAAATTTTTAATGTTTAGCACAAAACTGTAATTCCTTTATAATTTCCTGTCTCCCTTCTTGTAAACTGGTTTGGAAATTCCTTTACACGAGTCCACTGATGGTGTGTTTTCTATTAAAATTTTTCTCTTGACTCAATATGATCAATGGGTCCTGACTCTTGCTACCGTGTTAATGACATTGACAGATATTTTGTCATATCGTAGTGCTATATTATTTTTCTTGTGTTATTGCTGTTTATAGATGTAACCTTGTCTGACATACAATTTTCTGTACTGTCCTCAACAATACTTTGTCAGTTTAATAATTCCTCAAAGTATTCCACCCACGTCTAAAGATACACATCTTTCTATCCAGGCCAACTTTTCTTTGTCTAATGGGCATTTTAATTCAGATTTTTATTCATTTTATTCCTCATTACTGCATAAAACTTTTGTTTCTTTTGTAAGCTTTCCTTAAATTCATCACATATTTTTCCCACATTCTTTATTTCTCAAACTTAATCATACATTCAGCTGCTTTCAGACAACATTACTGTGCATAAGAAATACACCATATCACCCTGAACTAAAACCCAATAATTATCACTGTTTTGTATGTGTTTAAAAAGAAAACCATATTTAATTTAGTACCAGATGCACCATTTCTCTGAAATCTTTGCCTTTAAATTTATGTGTTTGTCAGATTTATCAAGGAACATGTCTCACCATGACCATGTGGTACTGAAATAAAAATGGAGTGTACAATATGATATGTAGTTAGGATGGGTGATACAAGAAATGCTTACAGAATTGTGGTAAAGAAATGTGATGAAAAATGGTAACTTGCATGACCAACAAATAGAATGTAGGATGTTAAGCTGCATCTCAGATAAACAGTTGTACAAATCAGAGGGTAATGGAACTAGCTCAAAGCCATGTCCAATAGCAGCCCTTATAATTTGCAGTACCGAGTCCTTCGGTTCTGCTACCAGAGTGTCAGATGTTTAATTTATAAATAAAGCTAATTTCACCGTGATGCAAATGGAATGCTATGAAATCCAAGGATTCTGTTCTGCAGATGTTCATTAATTATAAATACCATTAATGTTCCTATATACATCAAGAGCTGATGTAATTTGTAACGTGTGTACTTACAGGGCTGAACTACTCCACAGATGTTGGGTACACATTCCTCCAATTGAGGAAAATAGTAAAACAGAGTCAGCCTGTGTGCTGCAACACCAGATACTGAATAATATCATTCCACATTGAACTGTCTCTGCGATGGCTGTCGGAACAGCGGGTTCTGCCTGTCCAACAGGATCACCACCAGCTTTATGTTCCCGACTGCATGTAAATATCTGCACAAACACCACCACTCAACAAATTTTAGGAACAGAGTAATGAAAGCAAACAAACAAAGAAACAAAACATACATCATTCATTTATAAAAATTAGAGATTAAATTATTTATTTAGTGTTCATTAAATTATATTTCCAACAATCAGATTATACAGCACTGAGTAATAGGATGAAAAGTGAATAATAAATTGGAAAGAATGTGGAAGGAAGTGGGTGTGGCCTAATTTAAGGTACTATCCTGGCATTTGTTCACAGAGTCTGAGGAAAACCATAAGAAACTTCAATCAGGATAGTCAGTCCTTGGCCAAGATTTGGACCTGGTACAGTAGTAGCGGTAAATCTCTGCATTCCACATCTATTAACATTAAAAGGCAAAGGGATCAGAGGAGTAGGAGGAGACGGCAGATGAAGCACATACTGCCCATTCCATAAACATCATTTCCAGGTGGCAGTACTTTGTAGCTGGCTTTCACACCTCCTGGGTCAGTAAGTGATTGGATTACATAGTACATGCATTTATTTTCCTTGTACCTGTAAGACAGTGACGTAGGCAAAACATTCAGTTTCATCCCAGCTATGGTAACAATCAAAGTGTGCTAAGCACCTCACTGTTAATTTTTTGGCATAATAAATATGTTTGATAAAGTATGGGACAATGGGAGGAGAATAAAGTGATGAAACTGTTTGGATGAAAGAAATTTTTCATTAATTTGTCATGAAGAAAGGCATGATGATAAATTGGTAGGTAAAAGTAAATCAATTCCTATACAAGCCAATGATGGCTAAATTCTCAACCTCGACACTAGAAGGGGTGAGTAGTTGGAAGAACCCCGTTAGCCACTGGTGATGATTCTGTACGCAGAGGCTAGAAGAACATCCTCTGCCCCTCTTGGGGATTGAACTCCAATCTTCTGGCCAGTAACCAGTCACTATACTGATTGAGCTACTTGACTCACAATGAATTCTGCAGGTACTTGTAGAATAAAACCAACATTCAAGAAACATAACTGAAGACTTCTGCAAGACAGGGTGATTTTTCTTAATAAGTAAGACTTTATGGATTTATTCCAAGAACTCCCATATGCGACACAAAATATGTTGCAACAACACAACATAAATACTGTACACCAATATCTATTTGGTATGACATGAAAGTGCATGTGAAGCAAACTATCTTCCAATGCAGATTCAATTGTGTGTGTGAAAATAATGTAAAGCAATTATTTGAAAAAGGCAGAAAATTTTTATTATATAGAGTCAGCCAGACACCCTGCAGTAGCACACAAAATTCCACTGCTGTTTACATAGTTAAATCGCTCACTCCCGCTAATGGCGTATCTGACGTGATGGAGTTCAATGCCTAACTTTGTGATAATATTTTATTTTAATAACTGCCATTCCATTATTTGATTTTTATGAATTTATTGTTTAGTTAAATTCATATTCTGAAAGTTTTAATACCCATCGCGTTAATCTAACACATTGGTGATTTTTCACAGTAATCAGCCATTTTAAAGAAGCATGATCTGTGATAACTTGAAATTTTCTACCATAAAGAAAACATCTATGAACTTTAGTTCCAAATACAACAGCAAGTAATTCCTTATGAGTAGTACTGTAATTTATTTCGTGGTCATTTAGAACTGTACTAGCAAAGCTTAATGGTCGTTCTTGATTATTTTGTTTTTGACTTAGAATTGCTGAAATTGCGTAATTTGACGCATCACAACTTAGAATGAACGGAAGTTCAAAATTTGGATGAGCAAGAACTGATTCTGATGACAAAGCTGTCCTTAGTTTGTCAAAAGCTTCCTGCTGTTTATCTGTCCAATCAAAACGGATATCCTTACGCGTGAGTAAGGTTAGGGGTCTACTAATAGCTGCAAAGTCATGAATGAAAGAGCGATAGTATCCTGCCAAACCTAGGAAGGCTCGGACATCCTTAACAGTTTGTGGTCTCGGAAAGTTTCTGATCGCGGTTACTTTGCTTTCATCCGGTGCGACTCCATTTCTGCTAACCTTGTGTCCTCAATAAGCAACTTGTGGTGCTGCAAATGTACATTTTTCCAAATTTAATTTGAAATTATCATCCCTAATTCGTTCGAAGACAAGTCGAAGTCTTCGTGCATGATCCTGAACTGTAGGACTATATATGAGAACATCATCAAGATAAATAAGACATTCAATATCCTTTAACCCTAATAAAACATTATCCATAACTTTTTGAAATGTGCTTGGTGCTCCTGAAAGTCCAAATGCCATTCTTTCATAGCGAAAGCTCCCAAATGGTGTTACAAATCCAGTTTTATCTCTATCCTCAATTTTGATAGGAATATTCCAATACGCGTTTTCAATGTCTATAAGAGTAAAATATTTGCTCCCTGCCATGAGTGACAAGTTATTTTTGATATCTGGAATAGGATAGACAGGTGTTTGAGTCACTGCATTGAGTGCTCTGAAGTCTGTGCAAAATCTGTATTTAGGAGATCCATCCGGTGATTTCTTTGGTACCAAGATTACTGGTGCTGCCCATGGCGAAGCACATGGTGTAATTACTCCTTTAGTAAGCATCTCATCTAATTGTCTTTTCATTTCATCTTTGAGTGTAAACGGTACTCGGTAAGGGTTCTTCTTAATTGGTAACGCATCTCCTGTGCGTATCTCATGCCAACCTTTAGTCGTACAAGGTAACTCTCCTGTGTCTTCATCCTTACATAAATCTCTGTACTCCTCGAGTACTGGGGCTATCGTTTCAAATTCATCTGTGGTCAAGTGGCTTAACTTCTTACCAAATGCATGAGTCATATCCCATTTAAACTTTGACGGTTTCTTGCTCACCGTACTTATCTGACTATGGGCCCATGTGGTTGCAAATAGGTCATTGTGCAGGATTTCCGCGGTTCCCAACACAATACTCTTCCCTATCTGAACATACTCTCTACTTGTATTCAACATCTTCATAAAGCAATAACAATCGTTATGCTCCCGAGGTTTCCTTACCTCATCTATCAACATCACTCTACCATGGTTTTCATCGTTCAATTCTTGAGAACTCAAATTACTACTACTAAAATTAAATTCTTTTAACTGATTGGTGGTAATCACTCTACTCACCACGCGCGCTACATATATACCCCTGATACCAAGATCCATGGGTTCTACTAATACTTCTGCAGGAATATCTACATCTTGTTTCCCTTTAATCCTACCAATGATAAAATTTTGCGACAATATCCAGAAGTATTTTAATACTTTTATAATAAGTCTTGATTGACTTTAATAACTTTACAGTGACGTTTTTTAGTGAACAGAATTACAGACAATACTCACATACGATGACCACAGTGCACAGCATGCTTGTTAGTGTTGGCTTTCCTGTTACTCGTCTTGACGAATACTGTTTGAAACATTATCGCTGACTGGAAATGGAGGCTCATATCATTGGCCGCGTTTATTGAGAATTATGAAGCAATATTAGTAGGATTCTTTCAAGCTACTTTCCAATACAATTCATCAATCGTGATGTGTGATGAACAATTTTAATACCTTAAAACATTCTGGAGTCTCTTGCAACAAGAGTGCCAAAAATTATATTGCACAGAGCTGCAGAAATATTTCCATCTCTTAAAGGGGTGAGTATTTGTGTGTATAGAAACAAACATAACTAATAGTTATGGTATGTCTTATGGTAACTGTTTTATAAAAACAACATTTAATTGTGTATGTGTATGGTGGTTTTACAGAACTGTATGGATTCGGTGAAAGATGAACCTCATTCAGACAATGAGACTTGTCAGGATGGAAATCAGGTCATCAGTGTAAAAGCTGAGGATGTCTCAGATATGGAAATTGAAGAACACTATATGGCAATAACATTTCCAGTTATAAAGGATAAACAGGAGGTATGTCCATTAAAGTGTCAGTGGTATCATAGACAATCTTCAGACATTCGTAGATCCTGCTAATTATTCTACAGATGGAATCAAAGTACTGTGTTTGTTTTCACAGTACACTCAGGCTCTACCCCATCCTTCTGAAGTAAGGAAGAGACAGTTTTATTAGGGTATGCTGAATTACCAGATTGTACTCTAAGTAGATCTTATTTTGGATGGATGTATTATGTATTCCAATTTGCTTTCTTCTCATCATAAGTGATATCACTGAAAGAATAAAATTTAAATCCATACTCTAAACTACTTTGTTGTTTTTTGTCATTCATCTTGTCGTTAAGTTTGATAGTTGTGTAACTGCAGCGTGCATCATTAGGGGAGAGAGGGGCTTTGTGGTGTAAGAAGAGACTTCCCAAAAGTGAAGTGGAATGAAATCTCCACTCGCAGTTTACATTATTTCTGGGATTTTAGATTTATTGGTGGCACTGTAATTTCTGA